GGATAGTGAAAAAAGAAAAAGACCATCATTAATTGTCGTTCCAATCGTATATGTAAAAAGTTTTTTGAATCATATTTTTATTTTAATTTTTTTAAAGCTAACATTTGAAATTAATGTTTAAAGGATGAGCAAAATTCATCGAATGTTGCAAAAAATGATTTTGGTCGAGCAATTGCATTACCAAAAATTGGGCGATATGTATTTCGCGAACTTTGCAGGTTACTTTTTTTTTTTTTTTACTTCTTATGCAAATTTCTTATGCTAAAATATCAAATTAGAGGAAAAAAAAAATAAAACTAAAAAAAAAAATATAAACTAAAATATCAAATCAAAAACTATCAAATTCAATATGCTATATTTTTTACAAAATAATATTTTTTCAGATATGAAATATTTTAAATAACAAGTAAAGTTTTTGAATTAAAATTGAATTAAAAATGTACTTAAAAATGAAATGGTACATAAAATAGTAAACATACTAAATTAAATGGAATTAAGTAGATTATATTTTAGTGATTAATTTCGGTGCAATTCTAAAATTAATTCTTTAGAAAATATTCTTTCAAATATCAAATATTTCCAAGCAAAATTTTTTGACGTACCTAAAATGGTGCTTAAAATGGTTCCAAAAATTTTTGAAGTTAATTATGAAATAATTAAAATTGACACTTGATAATAGTTCCTTGATAATTACTTTGGTTTATTTTTTGATTGCTTAATTTATAGGTTAGTAAAAAATTTTAATGGATGCGTTCATAAATTGCGTCAACAATGTCCAGAACATGTTACAGTAAGCCTCATTGATGCTTCATATGGTTTTTTGTGCAACGAAGGATATGAAAGTAAATTTCTTTTCTTTTTTTTTTATTTTTAATTTTCAAAAAATTTACTGAATTATCTATGATCTAATTAATGAATTAAATTTAAATCCTCAAAATTCTATTTTCAAATCAATCGATTAACTGATTAATCTTTAATTATATTTTAGTGATTAATTTCAACAAAAATTAATTCCAGGATTAATTTTTTCCCAAGAAATACTTTTTTTTTGGCAATAAAATTTTATAAATGTAATCAAATTTCATATGATTAATGCAAATATTAGTTTGGATATATTTCGTTCCTTTTTTTTAATGATTATTGATCCAATTAATAAGATAAATTGATTCATAAGTATTAAAAAAGAAAAAAAACACAGAATTAACATTATTAATTAATTATTTAATTAATTAACAACAACAACTTATAGCATTCATGGGTAGCGCTGAATGTTTAGTTGAATTAGATCGACAACCAACGGTAAAACAATGCCATGAAATTACTTTAAAACATATTGAAGAAGCTAATGATCAACATAGTACCATATCATTAACTCGTTTTGATAAAATGTGCCAGTAAGTTATTCATTTTTAATCTCACTTTTTCATTTCAAAATTTAAAATAAACAAATTGATGTTATTGATTTAAATTGATTATCATAGAAATGATAATTATTTTGAGTTAATATTAAATTTTAATTTATATATCAATAATTTTTAATATATATTTTAATGCAAATTTCTTATTTTCTTACATTTTATTTATATCAAAATTTTAACTTTTAAATTTAATTATGATAAAATGAAAAATATAAGAAATAAAATTAATATAGCTTTTTTTTTCTTACCTTTTATTTATATTAAAATTTTAATTCCTGAATTTAATTATGATAAAATGAAAAATATAAGAAATAAAATCAATATAAATTCTTTTTTTTTTTTTTTAGAGCACTCAATTATTTTGCGGGTTGTGTTGAACAACCGATAGCATATGGTTGTGGTGCTGAAGCATGGACAATGATATTTCGTGTCCTCAGGGATACAACTAATACCCTTTTACCAAGATGTCAATTTACTGGACATTCCAGTTTAACAGAGCATTTTCCGCTTTCTCAAACAAAAATATTACCATTTACAACAACTATTCCAACTTCCATAAATGTTAAAAATGATTTATTACAACATCGGGTACTTTCTTTTTTTTTTTTTTTTCTTCCATTTATAATTTTGATAAATTTGGTTAAAAATTTACTCATTTTATTATAATTTTGATAAATTTACCCTTACAGTTCAATTTATTACAAAAATTTTGATAAATTTTGAATAGTTTGAGAGTTAAATTTCAAATATTTTTTCGTATTTTTTTAAAATTTAAATTTATTTTAGTATCTTATTAATAGGAATAGAAAGATGATGACAAATTCATGAGAAATAAAAAAGAATTTTATAAAAAATTAAAGGAAAATTTGATAAAAAAGAAAAAAATTTCAAAATCATATGCAAATTTAGGCTATAAATAGTTTAAATTTGTAAACAAATTGAACTGAAAATTAACTATAATTAAGCAAATTTGAATAAATTTAAACTGCAGCATGTATGAAAATATTTAGGAAATGTTAAATAATAAGGCAGAAATTATTTGGTCCAATCAAGATATAACAACGAATTCAATATCTGAAATGAATAATGATGATAACAAGAAGTTTATCCAACAATTACCGTCCATGTATGATGTTGATTCAAGAAGAAGTACATTAAACAGTCAAGGTGAAAGGTCAAGAAGTGAAATTAATGGACATGTTTTTATTGATAAGGATACAGATATTAGTTATTATGATAATGCTGATGATAATCCTAATGAAATTGCTAGCAGTAGTAGTTTTTTAGCAGTTAATTCAGCTAATCGAATAATTATGCTTGCACAATATGTATTACTTGGTTGGTTTATTTTAAAAATTTTTTAGCTTATCAATTTATAAACATTAAAATATAATGTAAATTTTAAATGTTAACATTATATCATTGCAAATTATTTCGGTGGGGAAAAAAAAAAAAAAAAACTGACCCTATGGTAATTCTTCTTATCATTTTCTTATCAACTTTTTTTTTTTTTCTTTTTTCTCCAGCATTTACGTATATATTATTTTTCTTCATTTAAAAAAAAAAAAAATAATAACTTTTCATTTTTTTTAAAAATATTTATAAATTTGTCAAAGTTTAGTTCAATTTTAAATGATAAAAAATCAGGTGATTGTAATTTTCATAACATTCATATTATTCAATTCTTTCTTTTTTTTTTTTTAAATATTCAACATGTAATTTATCATATCAGTAATCTTTGAACTTTTAACTTTTTATATGACATATAAATATGACATTTTATATGACATTTTTCTCGTTTCCTTTTTCTTTTTTTTTTTTGTACTTTTCTAAAAGTTTTGAGATATATGTCATATGATATTATATGACATATATCTCAAATAATGTATAATCATTGCCACAAATTGTAAAAATATTTGACAAATATGGATTTTTGATAGAATATGATGTGATCCATTTTGTTTATTATATCATATGAATGTTATTTGTTTTACAACTTTTCATCATTACTAATTAATTAACGGTGTAACAAAATTAATTCAAATCAATTTCTTATTTCATATTTCATTTTTTTTTTCATAAATCAATTCTTTTTTCAATTTTGATTATTATATCATATGAATGTTATTGTTTCACAACTTTTTTTAATCATCATTACTAATTAATTAGCGGTGTAACAAAATTAATTTCAATCAATTTCAAATCAATATTGTAAAAAAAAATAAAAAAAAAAGTTGGAAGTGATTGTAGCATTAATTGTTTTTGTTTCTGTT